GGTACTGCATCCTGCTCTCTGGCCTGGGGCTTTTCTTGCGCCGATTCCAGAGCTGTGTGTGACAACCCAACCTAACTCTGCTCCCACTTTTAAACACCAGAAAACCCAGGAAGTGGACCTGTATACCCTAACTTCAACTTCCCATAAGCCCAGGACCCCAGATAGACGGTCCCCACCCCTCCCTCTCTCCTAAGCCCCAGACCTTAACTTCAAACTTCTCACCAGGAGTTAGATTCAGCAGGCCCCACCAATGTCACATGTCCCAAACTGAAACCCCTGTCCTTGTCCCTCCACTCCTAGAGCCCAGGATGGTGCCTCTAGCCTCCTTCCAGGGACTTCCCTGGCCTCCCCACCACATTCAGCAGAGTTCTGAGGCTTCTGAGCGCACCCCAGGGTAGCCCCAGTACTTTGCCCCCGGCCCTTCTCACTTCAGATGCACCATCACCATTTCCACTGCTCTCTCAGAATCTTTCTCCATGGCAATTCATCCTCTTCACTACCTCCCTTCTGCATTCCTTCTAGGACACTGTCACATCTAAACCTCTCCCCACTGACCCTCCAGTTTCCTACAGCATTCAGCTCAGGTGCATCCCTCCTGCACCAGATTCAGGGGCCTCCCTGTACCCTCCTGCACCAGCTTCACCGCAGCCACGCTTCTGCACGCACCATTCAGGCTACCAGGCAGCTTTCCCCTCCATCTGCACCCAGGAGGCCTCCAGGTGTCCTTTGAGACCTAGTTTACTCTTCTTAGTTTACCTGGGCTCCACTCCTCTGTGTGCCTGTCTTCCTCATGGCCTCGGGGTTCCCGGAGGCCAAGACAGCACCTAGTGCTGACAGCTGACACTCGGTCAAAATAAGAACAGGAAGAAGAAGAAAGGAATGGTGTGGCCGGGCCCCAAATCCTGTCCAATTCCACTGTGTTCTAAGATAGCCTGAAGTCTCAAGTACCAAGCCAGCCAGGTGCTCAAAGCACCAAAGAGACTCAAAGCCAGGCTTGAGCCATCACCCAGGCCTCGGGGATGCATGGTTGAACGGCATGGTTGAACGGCAGTTTGTGTGTCCTATGAAACAGTCCAAGTGGCCTGGAGTGTATAAGTCACTGCAGACCACAGATACAAAGGCACATCCGTGTCCTCCACAACGGTTCCAGGAAAGTCAGTGCCTGACCACCCAGTCTCTGCCAACTCTCCCCCCTGGTCCCAGTAAGGGTGAGCAGAGACTTGGTCCCCATCAAGGGACAAAGCAAGGATGGAAAGACAAACAGAAGGCAGGGCGGGAGGCTCGGGCTGCTCTTTACTCGCTTAGGCTTGGGATGAGGCTGCTCGCTGTCTGCAGTTTCCATTAGGGCGCCCCTGTCACTGAGAAGAGGAACACCTTGCCTGTCCCAGGGGCCAGGGTCCACAGGTGCTGCCCCACAGCTTTGGCTTTCGCGTGGGGCACCTCACAGTGCATCTCGCCTGGGCCAGAGCTGGAACCCCTGCAGTCACACCCTCAGCCCTCACCTGTCAGTGTGGTCCGGCGGGGTTGGCGGCTCCTTGGTCCCCTCCTGCTCCTGCTCTTCATGCTGGATACGGGGCACCAGGCTCAGGGCTGGGCCACAGGCAACAGCCAGTAGCAGGCAGCAGGCCAGCACACGTCCCCATCCCGGGGAGCCCATCTTCCTACAGGGCCCTGGTGGGAAAGGGACACGCCGGGAAGGCACCAGTTGGAAGGGATTCTACAGAAACTGACAGGAAACCTGAGGGGCTCACCCAGGCACGCATCACTGGAAGATGCTCAGTCATGATCCTCTGGGAGAAACACTGCACACACACACATCTCACACGCACACACTCTCAACATGCTCACAGACGCATGTACATCCTCACAGCACACACTCACATGCACACACATATCTACCCAGTCACATGTACGCACATGCACCTACTCACAGTCACATGCACACACGCATGAACACACATTTACCTACTCATAGCCATATACACACATGCACACTCACATCACATATATGCATACATACATGCACATAAATGTGCCTGCTCATGCACACACTTGCATTCACATGCATACTCACACAAGCACAATTGTGCTCAGATGCACACACTCACATACACACACACTCACAAGCACAATCGCACTCAGATGTACACACTCACTTGCACACACAAACAAACACAGGCACACACACACACACACACACACACACACACTCATAAGCACAATCGCACTCAGATGTACACACTTGTACACACTCACAAGCACAGTCATGCTCAGATGCACACACTTAAAAGCACACCTGCAGACTGGTGTTAAAGTGTCATTGAGCCAGGCACCATCTGTACCCACCTAGCCTCTCAGGAAGGAGAGTCCATCAGCCACTGGCCCCCACAAGCAATCATTCACCATCCATCTTAGGACAATGAACAAAAATCCCAAGTGAGCCTTGCACAATGGCTGTCCCTTAGCTCCTTGCAACGCGGGCTCCCTGTGGGTCATTCACAGGTGGGCAGGCAGGTGGGAAGGTGACTGCACTCTGATTTATGGCCACCAGGGGGAGCACCAGTGAGCGTCCACAGCATCTAGTTCAGGACATGTCCAGCCCAGACCCAGGGCAGTCATCATGCACCTGAAGCCAC